ACGAATATTTATGTGATAAATATACTAAATAAAGATATAAACCATATTGACCCTCCGTTAGGATGCCGAGTTAACAAACCTAATAACTGAGTGGAATCAGATATTCTAGTCAAGGAATACCCAGAAATACTAAGATTACTAGAACTTTAAGAACATGTACTCGTGTTCTTTGCACTATTACTCAATTATTCGAGCTGTTTTAGACTGAAGACATTGTGGGCTGTTATTTGTTTGCTTCCATATAAGGTTGATAACAGCATGGCGTACATTTATTTGTCGTTTTATTCACATGTTGCTTGTTATTTAGCCTTATTTTAAATATCACGAGGCTTAGGACCCTCCGGGATGAAATATTTGAATTGATAACTTAGAAGGTGATTTGTTTATTTTCCATCTTTGTATTATATAAAATCTTATTTCGTAACATTTATTTACAATGTTAACAAGTAATAGACAACTTTCAATAAACTGTCTATTTGTCTTTACTTTCAGGCTATCGAACCAGACTCCATGCACTACCCCCTCCCGAGGCATTGCGTAATATGGTACCATTTGTAAACGAACGGATGAGAAAAAGGCGATGTTTCGCCGACAAGGAACTTGAGATGGTTATGATGGAGAGGGAAAGACAAGCCGAAATCGTTAAAACACGAACCAGTGGGGAACCAATTCAAAATGGCACAAACTTGGACGCAGCCAAATCGCGACTTTTGTTGGGAAATATGACGCCAAGGGAGTTTCTTCAGAGAATATTTCCCGCTCACAATCCCAATGTTTTGGAACTTGTGTGGCAAGGTTGTGGTGGTAATTTAGAGAAAGCTATTGAACAGTTAGCCTCGGGAATGAAACACGAGCAGTCATCAGTAACTTCTAATCCAATGTGTCAGCAAGCTCTATTGAACAAATATATGAACGCGTATCCGTTTACTGTACCCGTATTAGGACTCAAAGGACCTCCTAACATTCTTACCAATCCAGGATCGTATAACAATGTTTGTGGTGTCAATATACCCCCTTGGGGACTACCAGTCAATATGTCCAGTATGGTACCGGGCTATACTCCATCGCTTCCGACTTTACATCATAACTCACAGACTTTAAAACGATTCCAGACGCATCTCGACAATAAAAATACCATCAGTACGCAGGACCTTTTACGAAGACGTTCTGCTTTTCATTGTCTAATACCCAATGGAAATTCCATACCGAATGAAATGAATTCGTACGTGCTGGAGAGTGATTCACCTAGTCCACAGAGTCCCATGTCTTCTAGTGACGAATCTGTAGAATTCGAAAAATCACCAGTGAAACCAAAGTTGAAATTCTCAGTGGAATCGATTATTGGAAAATGAAACTTTTTGTAATGTTCTTCATACTATTGATCTCGTGTAGCTTTAATTTATTTATTCAATTTTTTTTCTCATCTCATCTCCTTATCTTACAAAAATTTGGTCCATTTTTCTGGAATTTAAATCCCTTCCGTATTTCAGATTGAAAAAAAAAATCTTTATCCTTTTATTTACACAAGTTCTATAAGCTTTTTGTATAAGGTGTTTAAATATTTGAAGGAGATTTAGATATCCTGTTATTAATATTGGTTTTGTCATCTTAACCGTTGAACATCTTCTATATTAAATATGTGTTATCTGGATAACTTGCATATTTTTCTTGTCTAGTGAATACTAGTTACATATCAATGGCTTGATGATGCAGTACCTGATCTTAGGGGGTGCAGTCGTTTTAAAAATTTAAATTTCATTTCCGGGTCTCCCTTTCTACTATAAATATACCACATTCGGCGGCGTATTCTCGAAACGATCTTAGAGCTAGAATGTCATAGGTTCTTATCTGCTAACATTGATTCTAGGACACCCTAACGCTAAGATTGTTTCGAGAATACACGGCCCGGTTCGGGACAAATGAAATTATGACGTATCAGCGTTAAAAACCTGGGGTCGGATTTTATTTTCGAAATTGATAGATAGCTGAAACCGAACTCTATCAGGTGGTAATATTTATTCCACTACCTACTTTTATCTTGTCCATATCTTTCATATTAAGAGCACCATGAAATTACCATCTGAATATAGCTCGATCTTATTTTATAGAAAAAGTAAGAAGTATGATCAGTTGATCAAAATTCAAGCCTGAAAGAAATCACTTTGTGATATTTATTCGTTTGGCTTATTGGATTGTGTAAGCAATACGCTGCAATTTTTAGAATCCGTGTTGCTCCACAGATGTTTGATATTTGTACTCCTCTATTCAACTATACAGTCTCGCTTCAAAATCATATCGACCAAAAACTTTAACTTCACAGGTGTTTTCAACCATATCAAAATATCTTTTAACTAGAATTAACTATTTAAAAATTTAAAATCTATTGGCCCATTCATCTTAATATAATGAAGCATCATTCCAACAGAAAATAAGAGATCACTCAATTTTTTTTGTAGTTGAGTAAAATATATGACGGATATACATTAAGGGAATTAATATCCTTTTCACGTTAATTTTTAACATTTTTATCTCCCCTGTGGATTCTTTTTTACAAACTTTGACATGTATCAAGAGTAACCTTCGACGGTTTTTTTTTATTGATATTAGCCAGTTTCGGAACACAAAGCATGGACAGATCAAACCAAAACAAAAAAGTGAGGTCTTACACAGATGATATTCGTTCAATTTATGATATTACTTGGTTCCGATCTCGATCGACGTGAAAAAAAATACGACCTTCAATAAGCCATAATACTAAGAAGGTTTAACGAAGGACCAGATAGAAAGGAACCTTTATCGTGAACCTTAATTGTTATCCTTGTTAAAATGTTTGTTTGTTTTCTAAAAGTTACTGTTCCCTTGTAACGTCATTTCTTACAAATGGCTGGTTGTAAGACCCTTTTCCACAGTAGTTGAAGAAAAATAGTTTGCTTAAGTCAATATATTCTAAACACTTACTAGAAACATTGTCATAGATTTCAATCATCACACATTTGTTATATGTTAATCGATTCTCTAATTTGTGGATCTAGACCTAATCACTTTTTAAATATCCAACTCGTGTACTATGGTTAATTGTCACAGGAGTGATTAGCTGCTGTAATTACTAATTAGAAATTCTCATTAACAAGGATTCCACTGAGGGTAAAAGCCTTCTTCCGTCCTGAAGACTTTTGGGTAAATATGAACATACACGTCAAAAAGTGTTGGTATGAACTACACAAATATACAGCGAATAAGAATAGCGGTCAGAAATTTCAAACGCAATTGAGTTGTGATTTCGGTTCTTGTCACCCCTTCCATTTCTCGCAACTGGTAATCGCTATGATGTATGTCACTTTTAGAAGCAATATATCAATTAGATCGTTAGAAAGGAAAATAATATCAAATTAAACCGCTTAAAATACATAAATGGAAACTTTATAGTATGCTTCTAAAAATTATATTCCACAAGTATTACTATGAAAATACACTAAAAAAAAACAGTATGATATCACGAACAATTTACATATAATGTTCGAAGCAAGGATGAACAAAAATATCAGATACCAAGCTCTTCCATCTGTTTCGACTTTCATCTTATTTTTTACTGACAGCTGCCCTATTCGGCAACTTTATTAAAATTTTAACAAACCCTAGAGTAAAGGCCTAGCCATTTATTTCTAAAAGAATTGTAACTTTTGAGTGTTCAAGCGAACACAAATTAGATAACATAACTTATTATACCAATACGCCACTGATATTTCCGAATTTCTATGAACAAGGGCAATAACTAAAAGAAATATATTTTAAATTGTTTTTTCAATATTCATAAAAATGCCTTTCTGATCAAATGATTGAAAAATTAACCATACGTCGACAAAATCCGTCAAGAACTCTGCAATTGTGGATGAACCGACGTACGGATAATTTCATAAGGGCGTTTAAAAATTACACTAATAATACTGTGTTTTCCGATTTAAGTTGGTCAAGAAGAAAGATGCATCAATGAATATAAAGCACTCAACTCTTGGAAGTACAGCACACAGTGATTGTTTTGTTTTGCATCGTAAATCATAACAATGGTAGAGACAGTCCGTGAAGTTCATAAACAATTAAACCAATGATCAGTATTTACTTAAGTAATTGTCTGCTCGAATACAAAAAATGTTTAAGTTATCAAAATAATTTTCTGTTTTAGTATTTAAATATTTGTCAAACAATCAATGAGAGATGACATACGAACAAGAAGATTTAATAATGGAATGACTAGAATCAGAACGTTTCACCAACCATGAAAGTGGATTCTTATGTCATTCCGGTCAAAATAAAACATAAGAAGTGTTTTTAAGCAAAATGAACAGCGCGAATGATTGTTGTCAACAGATTCAGAGAGCAGAAACCAATCTATGTAAACATAGGTTAACTTAAAGGCAATACGAAAAATGTAGTATTATTCTACGATGTTTTAGAAGAGGAGTGAAAAAACTCATCCTATGTAATGTGCCTAATGAAGCCGGGCAACGCCCAGCGGGATACTATAAGGGAAAGGAGTAGCCTCAAAATTCTGTGACAGAACTCCTCTACTACTGACTGCGATCTGTGATTTAACAGCCACGTTGATTCAATTTGCTTGCTAGTCTAAAGGTCTAGGGTTATAACCCATTTTTCAGCCCGGTATTCCCTGGTCAATAATGCAGAGCTGACAATGAAAAAACGTCTATACGTTGGGATTGGACAACATACCGAAACCCTGTGTTCTACATGCTGTGTAAGGTAAAAATCATTCGACAGTTTGTCCTGGCAAAATTTCCCTCATTGCGTTTCCCGTCTCATTAACCCAATGTGCAGAAAAGTTCGTTTCAAATCACAGCTTGTAGTACATTATGTTGTTTCTGTTGAATTGATTTAAACATCATCTCAGTTGATGAATTAGTTGAGTTTACATGACATGAAACACGTTACTACAAAATTGCAAAGTAATAACAATGCCGAGAGCATTATCTTCTACATATTCTAGATTATCCTCGATCGCTATTAGTTACGAGATTGCATGATACACCATCTCGACAACAATTTTCACGTGAAATACCGTATTTCGGCGTGTAACTGTAAAAAAAAAAGAGTTTTCTACTTGATGCAAGTTTCATTCTTGAAAATTAGATAAGTTTGCCTTCAACCACTTGAGATATATTAGTTAGATTGGCAGATTGCGAAATAGACATCACAGTCAACCCAATTTCCTATCAACTCTAATAATAAATTGTGTCATACCCTAAGGCAATACTATTATATGTCTCTGAAAAGCAATTATTGACAATTTGTAAAGCGTAAAAAGTTTTTGATGACATTAAGGAAGTGTATGATTTTATTTTTATGACAACATACTGTCTATAATATAATTTCTTGTTTTGTAAATCAATTAACATAACTTTTATTATAATGATTTACAATTTACAAACTGTAGTAAAGAAGAAATTGTAGGTTATGATTAGATTATAATTGGTTGTTAGGTAAGATGACATCCATATTGAGATCAGATGCGATGTGATTTTAGTGCTTACCGCAACGTATTTTCAGTAACGTTCACATCCGCAATTTTTACCCCCAAAGCAAAATCCTTTCATCTTGAGTTTTGCCAATTAATGGCTAATGGCTAGTTTTCTGTAATTTGGACTGATGCCTTCTCTCATGTAGAATACGCTATTTTCTATTGCATGATAATTATCCGGTCGATGCAGATTTGATTTTTTGTCATATCTCAAACCATAGGTTTCAAATTAAGCTGAACACACCTACTCCCGTAGGAAACTTTGTCATTTTTGCTTAAGCCCACAATCGAATTCCAATACTAAAGTATTGCACACAAAAAATCTATATACATGCACTGTACGGTTGAACATTCCTCTATTACAGTCAAGTTGATAAAATCATTCTTTCTACACTTGACAGCAGGTTACCAGCAGGTTTTGTTTTGTTTTAATTTGGCCGCGAAATAGATCTGCTTTTTTTCGATTGCAAATGTTAATATCATAAAAACGGAATGTCTGAAATTATTATCTGATATTAAACTTATGTCTCTAATTTTCTATTTTCATGCTTTTTGGTTTTCTATATCTCCCCAAGGAGCGGAAACATTTTTAATATGTCAAATGGCATCATAGTCGAGATTTCCAGCCGCCATTTGCAGTGTACTTAGTGATATTAGGCAGCTCTGTAATCTATTTTTGTGAGTCTCGACAGATTATATCCTTCCAATTTCATTTCGTTCAGCTCATAAATTAAACTAAACTGGCTTATTTGGTCTTGGTTTCTAATCAAAGTGGTATTACTTTATGAGTCTCTTATGAAATTCAGAACTTGACGTCAAATCGTCTGATTAACTTTGCAAAAATGGAAAAAAAAGCACAATGCATGATTAATGTGAGGGTAGGGGAGAATCTATAATATACTTGATTTTAATAACTTCAGTCGTATTTCAGACTTATTGAACATGAACACCTGGCCTGTAAGTATGTTAATGGGTATTTGTAGGATATTATTACGTCTAGAATTGATGTTATCGTATCGAAACAATCCATTTATATATTACAAAGAGGATTTGAAACTACAAGAGATGAATTTTTAATCAGTTTCTATCTACAGCCATGAATAGACGAGATACCGTGTCCGGTGCAGGATTATCGATACAGTTAAAAATAGAAGTAAACACATGAGGTGCGGGTTCGGGTTCGCACCGGATGCCGTACCTCTTCTATTTCCCCTTTTTGAAATGAGATCCTTCATGGATGGGCTTGCCAAGTGTGAAGACTATTACGGCTATCAAGAGCATACTACCATCATCTTAACCTTCGAGAAGTCAGCAATCACTGCTTCTATCATCTGACTCTAGTGTACCTAACCTAAGGCACAGGGGCTAGGACTAATAATGTGTACTCCTAATGAGACTCCTCGGAGGTACGGTTCTTCATGTTAGGCTGATCTTAGCCATTAAACAAATGATAATCTGTTATTAATGATTCCCTGTTTAAAGAAGCATTAAACATCGGATATGTAATTTTGTGGTGAGCAATCTCCCGGTGAGCATATATACGTACCTCTGGTCGGAGAGTCTGATGGTACTTCTATTTGGACGAGATTTTTGATGGACGAAATTGTCCTGCTTGTGCGGATTTATATTCTTTTTTACTAGCAATAAAATACACGGATATGAGACAAAGCTGCGAATACCTACCCGTGTTACCACAAGCTGATTTAGATTTGACAGTTTGAATTTGAATAGGGCAGAATATTGGTACTGGTATATAAGGAACAGAAAGTAGAGTGAAATACTCTATTTCATTCATCTCTTTAGCAGTTTTAGTATGTCCAACAGCGGTCAAATGTAATGCTAGAAATAAATACCATACTCTGCTTTCTATTACAAATGTCCACAGTGACCTGAGGTCAACCATATGTAATGGGGGACAATTTGGGCGTCCTTACCGCCACATAAAACCACGCTGTGTTTAAAGTAGCCATCGTATTTCAGTAAACATCACGTGTTTTCAAGTAATCCATATTTAAATTATTATAAATTGTTGGTAATATCAAACTGGTCACTATTAAGTTTAATCATTAAAATAAAAATGGTGGCCACATGTCTTCAAGTTCTTGACATATTTGTCGCATATGACTGAAAATGGAATCTTATACCTTTGACAATAATAAGCCACACAGAGCGGGTTTTGTACTTCCATTTGATCAAGCTGATACTAATTGTTGTATGACTGTATATCAGTTATAATTGTACCTTATAAATAGAAACCCTATAAACATTAAAGTAATCTTCCAAGATAGACGTGCTGAAAGTAAATGTTTAAATTTAAGGACTTTAGAAGGTCTTGAACAACCTATAAATTATCAAGAAATTGTACGATTTTGTATTTTTTAAGTGTACAGACAATTTCTTTACCTCAAGCCATATCATTGGAATTGCCATTAGAGTAAAGTAATAAGGGTGTTATTATTCAAGTCTATTTCCACTTGTAAACGATTCAAAATCTGCAACCTGCATTTTCCAGACACTCAAAACTAAGAAAGTGATTTTTATGTTTATAAGAAGGGATATTTGAGTACAAAATGTGATTTTTATTTTTCACATATTTCTGTAACGCTTTGACAAGACATTCAGTGGGTAATCTACGACGGTAAACAAAACGAAAGCAACGTGCCATTACATATTTTGATGAATATACGGTACAGAATTGAGAGATTTTCGTTGAAGAATTGAACTTGAAGCCAAGAGAAAATAAAACCTTACTTTGGAATATTTATTTGGAAAGAATGTCAAATGGGCGACGGAAAAGCGTTCTTGTGTTTTATTTACATGAGCTCTGTTTTACCGATTGGTCAGATTTAAATGCCACCAATCTCACTTCAACGCCCCCAAAACGAAGTATAGTGGGTTTAGTTTAATTCGGGTTAATAAGACCATGTCAAAACCCGTATTCGTGATACGATGGTTCTATAGCGTCTCAAGAGAATAGTGATTTTGTGGAATTTTACCTTTAAGATGCATTGATGTTGAAATTTGTATTAGAGCTACTACATAATCCACTATTTCCGTCCTTCGAATCGACATTTGTGTAAATGAATGCAACGGAAACAGCAGTACAAGAGTCTTGGTAAGAGAAACAGCTGGCGGATATTCATCACAGGGACATGAAAGCCAATTTGTTATCCCAAGTAAATATAGATATTTTATTCTTTCAAGATTTAACTCTCGGTGGCCTATTTTGTCTTCATCTGTCTGTTTCTTATAGCAATCAATTCCCTTTCTGATTACAATTAGTGATGCTTTTGTAGAACTTACATCTTCATAATGGTTTTTGCTAATCTTTGTTAGGTTTCTTTTAAAGAGATACAATGCAGGATTTCTAGCCTATGTATGTAACTGCGGGAAACCGATCCAGTCGGATAAGGCGTAAGAATCTCGACGCCATTTTCCTGGTTACTTCTAACAAATGACGGTCGTGGGTTATAATATATAGCAGCGTTTTGAAGACTGGTTCCCTGAAATAAAGTCATGTTTCCTCGTTATTAATTAAATCGATACGGATATCCAGAGGAAAATCAGGGTATTGACCAAGAACTAGCTGATAAAAGAATCTCGTGAACATACATTTGTAATCCTTGTGAAAAATGGTGGTCTCTTACCTTCTTCCCATCTGGAATCTGTTGCTATTGTATTATTATTACATAACAAACTAAATCATTCCGTCGTTTTTGCAATAGTGGCACCCTAATTATGATCAAGACCAAAGTGTTCCCGATTGACATTAATAAATCTAAGAAAGGTCACAAGTGAAAACAGACAAATTTGATTTCAAATGACAAATGGATAAAAACTTTTTAAATTCGAGTTTGAAAAATACCACCAATGGCTTAATTTTTTTATTATTAAATTGGGCATTTGTTTCTTTTCAATCGAAATACGATAAAACATTTAGAGCTAGGAAGAAATGTTATAGCAATTTATTTTGTAAAGAATAGAATAAAAGCTATGCAACATACGGAGAAATTGGATAAATGAGGTCCTACTTTACTTCAAATAAACACAAGCCAGAGTACACTGAATGTGGAAGGATTATTACTAACTTCATAGTTTCTTCTTGACAAATGTAGTCGCATTAGAGTTTTAATAGATGCGTTTTTAGATTTTAGGCGAATGTTTTTAAATGATACGGAGAATTGATTTGTACTCCAGTCTACATGAACATTTCTCTTCTTCTGACTTGACAATTAGTTCACGAAGAGCTATTAATTGCTATTGTCGGCTTTTGTACTTATTAACATCCCAGATATTTTAATATTCTTCATCCAAATTGTCCACAATTCAAAATTATCAGCGAGCTACAGTGTCTGTACGCATCTGTATTTTCCACAACCTTGGGGTTTACATGAATACACTTTTTAGTGCACAATTGCACTGACAAATAGAAAAAAATCTATGCTATTTTTGACTCTCATAACATAATTAATTCCTCTTTCTTTCCTGCACTCCACATTGCATCACCGGAGGTCGCCATTTTATTTGTCATGTGACGCTTCGGGCGTCTGTGATTGTTTTTTCACTTGCCGAACGAGTCGATGGCGTTGGATGTTCAGGTGAAAAATATCAAACACGCTTGATGTTGGCAAATGGCTTCGACCGATGCTACGACATTTACCCGTGTGTGTAACTTAATTGAAAATATAGCAAATTCTAATTTGATGATAACCAGTCTAATTAAAATTTGACCAAACTTTTATTTTAATTTAGCCACTGATCATTCATCAGTTTGATGCTACCGCCAGCCATCAAATTTCATTTTGTGACGTTAAGAAAAGGTGAATTGAGTGTCTAATGCTTCTCAGAATACACCTTATTCGCGCCACAAAATCACAGCGTGACACAGGGCAGACATTTGATTGGCTGGCGATAACCCAAACTGACAAATGATCAAGAGGCCCGTATTTAGACCCTATAGGAAGTGGCTATATATTATATATATTAAAAAGTTAATAAAAAAAAACGAACGAAAGTTTGGTCTATTTTTTGATAAGACTGGATGATAAAGTATGTTAGATTTTTCAATATATCCTCAATAGTACTAAAATGAAATACAGCGATTCTCATATAGGAAGAAATATGATTAGTTTAATATGAGGCTACAAGAGAACCCAATCATACTTCCCATTGTTACATATGAACACATATCATAAAGGTATGTTTCTGACAGCAGTAGGTATTGTCATTTAAAGGTTGCGTTTACATTTGTTATACTTGACTGTAATGATCGAGAAAAGGAATACATTTGAATATCTACACACTTAAATTTGACAGACCAAATATTCCATCAATAAATACATCGTGTTTTTGTCATAGCGTGTGAGTTCCAAACTCTTTTTTGTGCTTGCTGCCATTTAAAATGAAAAGTTGTTTGCACGAGTCGACCTAATATATCAAGTTGTATACAACAGTCAAGTTGCACGAACAACATATTCTTGGTGCAAACGTTTCACCCAGTATCCTACGGCGTCTTGTACTCAAAACAGTTTTCCAGTTTAGGTGCTTGTTAACTAAATGAAGAGCAACAAACCCCAAAACAATTCGTACAAAATTCTAACAGTCGAAAGGCTAATTCAATATGAATACAATAATTGATTCGAACAGCAACCTTTTTAGTGATACTAAAGACACTGAAAGACGGACAATACCACTTTTGGTATGCTATCTTGATATCTATATGTATTTTCATATCCATTTTTTCGAACACATTGGTAATATCTATCTAACTCATAATATCGCCGAAAAGTTTGTATTTTCTTTCAGGAAATTGAGCTCTAGTATTTAATTGGTAATTTACCTGAAATCAGTATTATTGTGCTTGCGATTTCGACATGCTACTATTTGGTATAATTATAAACTAATATGAATGCGAGTCAAAAGAGGTTTTTTGGCCTGTACATCTGTATTTCAAGTAAGGTTATGACGTCATTATGACGTAGATACCAATGAAATGCTGTATTGGCAAAAATAGAAATGGTAATGTAAATAGATGCTTTATATACAAATACAAAGCCCACAAAAACCTCTTTTAGACCTTCGATGCGTGTAAGCCACGTTAAAAGGTGATATTCAGTCAGAAAAACAAAATATAATTTATTCGATACAAATTCAATGAACCTTCTAAAACAAAATCATTCAACATAATAATAGTAAGGATAGAAACATAACTAAACTCTTTTTACCAACGACTAATCTGGCCAAATTCAATAACAACGGCAATGCAGAAACAAAATGGCTGACTTCCGTTTCAAATCAGCAAAGGGTTAAAAACAAAATATTTGAACATAACATGACAAACTGTAACTATTTCAACCTTGACAACAGTTTATTTTACACTTAGAATCGAATGGATAACACAAAAAACAATATAATATTCCATTTTAATCTAAATGCCGGAAAACATCGTCATAATACGTCCAATTTATGTATTTTTCTGGAAAGGAATAAATTGATATAAAACGATGAAGTGAAATGAAGTTGATACGTTTTTACGACACATTTATCATTCTGTTTTATTATATCACTTTATTACGTGTCCGAACCTTGTTGATTCCAACACATAAAAACGCCCTGGCTTATCCATAACTTTACATCCGACGTCAGACTGTTGTTTCTATCACGGCTTCCGTAACGTGGCATTTCCCATGTTCATCCTTGAATAACACTTTTTTGGGAGTATTTTTACCACTTTTGGAAGTGCTTGGAAGGCTTGCACTCAACGTTCGCATATCCTCTTCTTTCCGAACAACAAGATCGTCATCGAATTCCATATCACTTATTGATATCCGTAATAATGGACGGGTCAAACTACTCTCATTTGGTTGACCACGTCGAAAATGAATATATTTTATGAGGCACACAACAAAACAAGCCACATAGATAGTGATAAAAATTAAAATATAGTACAGCGCCTGTTTTTGTTCCTTAATTTCCAAGGCAAACGTTTCGTCCACTTTCGAGATATGTGTGTGTGTAGCATTAGTCGTTGTATTCATTCCACTACTGTGTACTGATTGTTGGTTGACATGAGATAACATTGACTGATCGTACCAATCAATAGTTAAACGACTGGCAGAACATTTACTCAAAACATTATCACCGTAATTTCAATCTTGAACAGAGCACACTCGCTTGTAATCTTTACTCCGTACAATTTTCGAAATATTGGAATTAGAACGTTTTGGCAAGAGAATTAAATCTTTAAGTATTTCTTCAGAAAATATGTCACCGTAAGTTTAGGGAAAGAAAACAAATTGGTGAGATTTGATTTATTTTCCTTTTGTTACGTCGTTCATTATCCGATGGTAAAGCCTTTAATTCCCGAAAGCCTGGTTATGAAAACGGCTCTTTGGTCGAGTATTGCATCAAATCCGAGACTTACGGCATTTAACATTTAAAGCAATTCCTTCAATTTCAGATATACATTATCAACGTTAAATTCTGTAGACTACCTGCATCATTTGGTTAATTATCACCAAAGCTACAATAAGAAGAGCTTTGTAACTTATCACGGCTAAAAATCTGAGAGTAGCGGAAGAACGAGGATTAGGTTAAGTGACTACTTTTAGAATTTCCTACTTAAATTCCGTAGCTTCACAAAAACAGCATAATTCTAAGAGGTCGTTAATGATGTTATGTCATCTACGAAGATCCAGATCATAGGAAATCAGGAATCTGGAAAATTCACAGCTGCCACTGCCAAAACTGCTTTCCAAATATTCGCACTTATAACTTTTCCTTCGATAGCTTGTGTTGTCTAAATGAATCCCGATTCCAATGAAACGTAAATGACATTTTCCACCATCGACAGATATCCGAGAAAATATAATTACACTTTATTTGAACACTTGACACTTTTCTAGAAACGGATATGAACTCTTCGTACAATACTTTTCTACACGATCGAATTCAAATTTGACATACAACAAAATAGACAGCAAAGTGTGTTTTTGCACATTACAACGCATTCCTAGTTTAATTCCGCAGGATAAATATGGAACACAATAGGAGCTTAGAAATATAATTTCACA